CAGTTATACTGTTGTAATGAAAGTGTAAGGAAGAGGAGAATTAGGACCAAGACACCTGGACAAGGTTTGGTAGGATGCATTCTTCATGGAGCCCTACATGCTTCTGCCATAAAACATATTACTTTTCTCTCCTCCAGGGTCCCACAATGTTAGCTTCTCTGTGTTTAACAAAGGAAAGTGAGTAAAAGAATCTTTTTCTGTCTTTTTTTCTGTGGTTTTGCATGGGGACAGAGCTGCATTTGAGTCCAGGATAATTACATGACTTTTTACTGAATCTTGTGTTTTGTTGCTTAGAAGTGAGGCTTTACTATCTTGAGAAGACTATAATGAGATGTGGAATGAAAAGGGAGAATGTTCTTCCCCAAACTGTCTCCTCTTTGGAGTTTTAATATTTTAGTCTCAGTGTCCAAAGCATAAGTTATCTGTTAAACCTAGCTGAATAAAATCTTTTCACCTTGCTTTTAACTCTTCATCCAAATGGGAAAAAAAACAGCCATAAAAGGAGGTGAAAATGGGTTTTCACAGTGTCAAAATTGTATTTTACAATGGGACAGTACTTCTAATAAAGAATTTCAGGCATGTAATGGAGCTTCTTGAATCAATGCCTCAATGATCTAGTGAAAGGTGGTGTTGGTCGCTGTAGCAATGTTCCATTGTTCTTCTGGAGAGCAAGTGTCCAGCCCTGCCAAAAGAAGGTCTACTTTAACTTAAATGACCAAGGATCTCTTAGGCATTTTCTCTTTCTTGCAGGTCAGCAGTACACAAAGGTGCTTGGCTGATCAGTGCCAAACAGGAGCTTTTCTTGTATCAAACGCATTCAGGTATACCACTGATCCACCTCACGGGCTGCTCTGTCTTTTGGCAGTCCCAGTGTGGTCTAAAACAAGACCTCTAGCTGTTGTCTTCCCAGGGATGTAATCCTGATGTGTCCTTATTTTGGGTGTGCCACTCCTCTGGTATGGGTTTGACTACACAAAAAGCTGCAGATCAAAAATTTCAAAACTGTCAGATTTATCTGCTAAGGCTGGGTGTGCTGCCATGGGTTGTGGCCTACATCCCCAGTGAGTTAGTGTTCCTCTCAGACAGTTATATGTTTGAAGTCTATTTTGGACAGCCTAACCTGAGACAGTCAGCCAGAGAACAGCAGTATGCCAGGGTTTGGGATGATGTTGCTTCATCATTGTTCCTTTTCCTATCAGATCAGTTGTAGACCTGAGATGTTGCATCTAGAGAAACCTTTCCCCATTAAATCACACTGTATTTGATAAGGTTGAGATTTTTAGAAATGCAGACCTTAGGATGAGTTAGATCCCACAAGGAGGAGGTGATGGTCAGCCAGTCCAAGAATTGAGTTCTGGATAAATGGTGAATGACAAGTTACTTCACCATTAGTTTAAAAAAAAAAAATAAATTAACGTACATTAACAACAATAACCTCCGTATGACCTTTCCAGCGATATTGTAGACAGGAGACAACCAGTCCAAGAATTGAGTTCTGGATAAATGGTGAATGACAGGTTACTTCACCATTAGTTTTAAAAAAAAAATAAATTAACGTACATTAACAACAATAACCTCCGTATGCCCTTTCCAGCTATATTGTAGACAGGAGACAATAAAATCCTGAGTTATGAGCTCAAGGTTATGGTCATGGGCAGACAGTGCCCAAGATTCAGAAAAGTCATATGCCCAACAGGCAAAGCAGTAGGGGATCGGAGACTGCAGAGCACTGGGCAGCCTTTGCTTTGACCTTAGTCAGAGCTTGCATAAAGCTGAAATGCCACTTGGTTCACCTGCACAGTCCCCAGCAAGGTCCCATCAAGTTTTTGCCTTTAAGTTGGCTGAAATTAATGTAATGAAGGTTCCTTATGGGCTGTATCTGAGAAGTTTGGTTCAAGACGTGATAAAAGCTTTTTTTTTTTTTAAAGTAGCAAATACGTGTTCGTGTCTTGTATCTTGCTTATGACATATAACTGGTTTTGCCTATGAATCCAAAACACTTTGTAAAGGAGGGTAATTTTATGTCCTTATTTACAAATTAAGGCATAGTAAAATGAAATAACCCTGCGTGAAGTTGCCTATTGGCAAAGCACCAGCAGAAACAAGATCTGCCAAATCTATCCAGTAGACTGTACTATGCTAGCCAGCAGTCAATATTGTAAAAGTAAACTTTAAATACCAGAAGAATTAACAAAAAAAATGCAGATATAGACCTACGTCCCTCATCTTTTTTTGTTAGTCTTTTTAAAAGAGCTATACCAGTACAATTGGATGGTTAAACTAGGACAACTGAGTGCAAAGTGAGTAAATGTCATCAAAGAGAAAAATAGGTTTCCAGTTTGAGAGGGCATGACTGTAACAGAGAGAAAATCCTGAAAGATTCTCGTGGTTGTGATGTGAACACTCAGATGTGTTCAGAGGTGTTCAGCTCCCTCCATTTGTCTCTGAAGCCTAAGGGACGACTGGAAAGCGTGGTAACATCTAAACCTATAGGCTAAATTGAGAAGCAAGTCAGAGAAGGTCAAAAGGATTAAACCAGTTTTAATTCCACCTTTATTTGCAGAGCTCCTCGATAGCACAGAATATACCAGTTTGCAATCTGAACGTGACAGATGCAGCCAAGCATTACTGTGTTTCTCCTGTTATGCAGCCAAGTTATCCATGTTGTTCATTCCTGGTGTAATCCCAGTGGCTGCCAAAAGCCCTGTGAAGGATCAGTGAGATGCATGTTTCATTCACAGGAGCCTGCTCTGGCTGGAAACAGTGCAAGTGCACTGCTGGCTGTAACAGAAATAGGGCTGGGATTAACCTTTCCAACGTTTGCTTTCAGATTCCTCTTTTCCTTCCTCTGCAGAGATAGCCTCTGTGTTCCCAGCCAGTGGGAGTCTCGGAGGAGGCACTGATCTCACTATCACGGGTGATTTCTTTGAGGAGCCGCTGCAGGTCACTGCTGCAGGTAGGAGGAGAAACATGTGAAATATATATATTTTTTTCAATACAGTGGTCATGACCCTGACCACAAAACCCAACTGATGTTCATAGATACCAGTGTGGGAGTCGTAGGACTCACCGTCAGGAAGGTTCAGTTATTCTGACTGTGGGCATGAACTGTTTTGCTTGCTTGCTAGTAAAAGCCCAGGCTTTTAGCAAAGTGTTGACCTCTTTTGGAAAGAAGATGGGTTTATGCTGCAGCTCAGCTGTGTTTCTGAGGCTCACACAGCACGTTTGTCTCCTTTTCCTGCTGCCAGGTGTTCCTTGTAAAGTCAAGCACATCTCTCCCCAACAAATCAGATGCACTACTGAGCCTGTCGGCAAGGGCAGGAAGCTTGGTGCCCCCCAGCCAGGTACGATATTCAAATAACTGAAGGTCCAAACAAGCAAACACACATGGAAATGGAGGGCAGAAATTGTTTGGTGATGAATGTCATCAAGAAATAGGAATTTCCAAAACACTGTCTGCTTCAACATCAAGGGAGTTTCTCCTGTGTTTGACAAGGAGGAGGGCCATGAGAGGGCTGGAGCACCTCTGCTGTGAGGACAGGCTGAAAGAGTTGGGGTTGTTCAGCCTGGAGAAGGGAAGGCTCCAGGGAGACCTTAGAGCAGCCCTCCTGTACCTAAAGGGGCTATAAGAAAGCTGGGGAGGGACTTTTTACAAGGTCATGGAGTGACAGGACAAGGGGCAATGGCCCTAAACTAAAAGAGAGTAGATGCAGACTAGATATAAGGAAGACATTTTTTTATGATGCAGGTGCTGAGGCACTGGCACAGGTTGCCCAGAGAGATGGTCAATGCCCCATCCCTGGAAACATTCAAGGTCAGGTTGGACAATCTGAGCAATCTGATCTGGTTGAAGATGTCCCTGACCATGGCAGGGGTTTGGACTGGATGGCCTTTAAAGGTCCCTTCCCACCCAAACCGTTCTGTGATTCTATAGTGAGGAAGAGCAAAGTGGAGAGCTCTGGCCACCACTTGGAGGTGAGCAATGGTGAGAGGAAGGTCAGCCTGGTGTGTAGGGCTGTGGAAAATGAAGGGAAAAAAGTATGGATAATATTTAGAGGAACGATAGCTGAACTAGAGCTACTGCAGAGGCTTCTGGGGATATGCTTGAGTGGAGCATTGTGCATAAAATGAAGCTTAGCTCACTGACTGTGGGTCATCTCACTACCTGTTCCGGTACGAGCAGACATACGAGCTTGGTTGGATGCTCTGCTCTCTGCAGATTTTTGTTCTTTCTGGTGGAAGATTTCAAGGCAGAACAAATTCCCTAAAGCAAGGTGTGTGTTCTCTTTGGACTGCAAAACAGACCCACAAACAGAGCCAATTTGTTATTCAGATTTTCTGTTTTGGCCTGCCTCCTTACACCACTGATTCTAGCATGTGCTCTGGGATTTTTGTTGGCTGCTACTGAGAACACTTTTGTTTTAACTTTCTAGGAAACAGGGGGCTTCTCTTTGAAGTTTGGGATGACGCCTCTGATCTGACAGAAGCAGGTCCTGGATATAGATGGCAGTTCGTACCTAATGCTAGTTCCCCAGTAAGATTCCTGTCTGGGTCAAAGGAGTCCTTCAGGTACTCAGTGATCTTAAAAAGAGATGAAGCCATGGCAATCACCTTTAGCAGTGTAAGGTGTAGCAATAACGCCTGACAGCTTCTTATAGCAGAGCCTTACTGCATAGCTCCTACAAATCAAAGCAAACCCTCTGCTCCAAGGTCCTTCTGAAGCTCAAAATATGCAGTGAAGTGTTTTATTTTTCCTACTTTTGCTTTCACTCAGTATTTCTGCTCTACCTGGCCTAGATGTGTTGAAATACCATAAAAGAAATTGTTGCGGGGGTACAATGAGCCCCGTTAGAGGCTGTCTTGAGCTGGAGCTCAGGCCAGATGTGGAGGGCCAGATCCTCAGCTGATGTTGGCAGCTGCAGCGCAGGTGGAGTTAATTGAAATAAACTGATTTGTCCCAAACTGCGGAAATATCTTAAACAAGTTGGTATCTGTTACCTCTTCAGATACACCCTTGAAAAGATATGCAATATGTATGAATGTTTTAATTTTTCTATCATTCCTCTGTTTTTATCAGTTAATCTTGTCTGTGATTTTGAGCCTTTTCCTGCCTATTCAGGGTTAAGAATTTGCTTGAGAAGAAATATACAAAAAAGTGATCAACAAGAAAACCATATTTATTTTCATGGAGTTGTTTTTTATTATTTTTCAAAGCTTTTTTAAAGTATAAATGACATTTAATATGAAGATGGGTCATTTTGAGGTTCCTTCAGTTTTAAAATCTCTGAGTTTTTTTTTGTTATAACTTGGTCTTACAGTCTTTCCTTGTTACTCAGTGTACCTGTGAAGGTGGGGTATGGGGCAGGGTGGTTTTTGCAGTAACTCTTTTGTATGTTATAAATGTTCTACTTTTGCTTAGCTCTAGGCTTCGTGGATTTTTTGTGGCTCCTCAGACCAACAATTACACCTTCTGGATTCAGGCAGATGGTCAGGTGTCTCTCTACTTAAGTTTGTCCCAAGATCCAGAACATAAGGTATTACTCTTGGCAGAGAAAAAATGAGATCAGGATAGGAAATAATTTTAGTTAAGGTCATAACAAGTGGGAATTTCCCCAGTCTGAATTGACTCATTGGACCTTGTTATGAATCTGTTGTAGAGTGAAATCTGAATGATTATATTTGATGTTTTACATTGGCTCGAGAAGCTGTTCAGCTCATGAAAAGCTTGCTCTTGCAACCACAGTCTTTGAATGTCTTTTCCAGAAGACGTTTTTGTTAGTTGAGCACATCACCATCACTAACAATCTGTGCAAGGGGACCTGCAGGCTTGCTGTCTGACTTCCTCAGTTTACCTCCTTTTTTGCCTGTTGAAATTTTGCCCTCTGAAAACATTGATCCTCCCCTTTGTAAAGCTGAGAAGATGCTATAAATTAAAGTGATCTGTTTCTCTGGGCTATTCTTAAGCGTAGTAACTGAAGAGGGCTAGAAAAAACAGAAGAGGCGGCTTATCTATAAAAAAAAATGTAGCATTACTAGTCTTGCTAATAGTAACATGCTACATCTCAGAAGGTTATAGACATAGTTCTTCCTTTTGTATTTGGAGGACATGAGATGTAGAGCTGAAGTCATCCGTGAAAAGTTGCATGGGAAACTCTTATTAGGGCTAGGGTCAACCATAAGAATTATCTTCTTTATGGTATTGAACCGTAAACCAAAGCTCTTTGAGATGATGGCTATTTCCTGTAGAATAGGAAGGAATGTGTCAACCATCAACCCACTGCTGTCATCTGTAAGCACAAGTCTGTTTTTTTGGAGCTGTGGTATTGGACAAGGTGCCTTTTGGGGATGGAGAAATGTGTCTGTAACTGATTGATTTGGTTGCTCTGGACACAGGTGAGAATAGCTTCTCTCCCTACTGGCAATTCGGAGTGGTCTGAGAACTGGGTGAAGAATTGGAGTGAGCACTGGCGGCCAAAATCCCAGAAATTTCAGCTAACTGCTGGTTCGAGGTACTACCTGGAAGCACTGCATCATGGAAAGGCACCTAGCAATGGAATGAGAGTTGGAGTCCAGATACATAACACGTGGCTGAATCCCCACGTGGTGAACAACTACTACATCGAGAGACATGAAATTCGGGCTCACGCCTCGCATCTTCCAGAAGTGCAGGTCAGTGCTGTGTGTTTGGCCCTGGAAGCTGGACTAGCCCTGATTCCGTTGATACAGATGGCAGCAAATCCTAATTGTAAAGGCTTTGTTGGTGCTAGACATGAAAGTACGTTCCCGTCTTATTTTTAACCTGTTGCAATAGTTCATAAGAATAGTATCATGAGCTGAAGGTGTTCATGGGTTTTACACACATTGGTGGGCGTATGTAAACCCTGTGATTGCGTTATAATCTGCTCATGTTAGTGTACACAATGCTGACTCCCCTCAGGTTTTATCTAACTCACTAATGCCTCACCTTGTTAACTAATGCTAATTAATACAGGCTTGGGATAGTTTTTATTTCCCCTCCTTAGTGACAGCACACTCAGAGTGTGTTATCTGGTCAACCTGTGTTGCAATTAGATGATAGAAACTTTGAGCTTGTTGAAGTGCTCAGCGATTAGGGAAGTTTTTCCTGGTGGTTAACTCCCACAGCTGTAGGTCAGGAACTTTAGGGACCATTTGTGGCTGTCAGGGTGTCTGCACAGGCTGTGTATCCCTTGTGTTCCCGTTAATCTAAGAACAGGAGCCCAAGGCTTGTGTCAGGAGAGACCGTGGAGGACAAGAGCAGTCTAAGAGAAGCTGAAGGGACTCGATTTACAGAGGCTTAAAAAGGCAAAATGCTGGCTGTAAAATCCTCCTCAATAGAAGACACCAGGTTTGAAGTTGGTGCGTCTCATGCAGTTTGTATCTGTTTTCATCTATTTATTTGCTTCTTTGCTTGCCAGATGTTGACTGTGTCTGGTACAGGGTGTTTCAGTATCTCATGGAATAACATGTTGCGTAGAACGATTCCCACAAATGCTACGGCTCTCCAGGTAGGTGTCATTAAATGCAGACACCCAGTCCTCTGCTGGAGTGTATTTGATGGAGCTCTGGTACTTGACAGCAGTTAAGCACTTGGCCCAGAAACTAAGATAAATTTTACATGATGTAGGGATGACTTTTGTTACTGGGAGTGTCTCACAGTGGGATTTTCTGGGGGGTTGACTCCCAGGTATATTCTAAGCGTATCACAGCATCTGATCTTGGCCTGTCATGTCTACAATGAAGTTTATGGTATCTTCAGATACCAGATCCTTGGACTTCTCCTCTATGACCAGATGTGTAGTGTATGGCTCTTGCTTTAGACAGGAGCTCTGATCTGGTTTCTTCAAAATCCCATAGTCTCTTCATGTGGCAGTTGGTCTTTGTTAAAACTACCTTGGGTGACAGCTCCATGATAGTCATTAGACATCTAGTCAACACAGCTGGTGGAGCCTGGAGGGGCATGCAGATACTCAGACTGTGATATAGCTCACATAAGAAATCTACACCTTTCTGAGGAGGCTGCTGACACCTAAAGGATGTCTCACACCCCTGAAGGGTATCAGACGTGGAAGTTTACACTCTGTGTTGAGCTGAATTTTTATTCTCTACCATTTGGCGAACTGCTTGTTCAGAGCTGCCTTGCCACCGGTGCCTAGCTGATAAAAAATGTAGTGATGATGTGTGTATTGAAGCTCTCTGCTGAAATGATCCAGAAACCATTGTACGATGACTGCTTTTCAGTTTCTTATATTTTTTAAAGGTGCAAACAGCAATAGAGGAACTTCTTTCAACAGGATGTGAAACTGAGCCAACTTCTGCTAAAATCCTTTTCCGCAATGGCTTTGAGAAAGAAGGTACTGATCTTCTGTGACAAATTAGCAGTATTTACTGTGAGAGTTGATTTTCTTTTATGAAATGAATGTACTTTAAATTTTTAATGATAGAAAATTTACACTTTTAATGGGTTTAAGTACATACATTTGTGTTTCTCAGCTGTTCATTATTTGTATGTATTCTGATGGGGGAGTTTATAGAACTAACATTAAAACCAACATGATTAATATAATAATAAGAGATTTTTTCTGTAATGTGTTGTATGACTCAGTCATACTGCAGCACACTTATCAAAGCAGGTGATATATTGCTGTTGTTAGAAATGTTAGGAGTAGAGACAAAAAATGCAAGTTCTAGGGCATTCGAAATTATTCATGTTTCAGTGTATCTGCTGGGGAAGAAAATCTGGTGTAGCCTGTAGCTACAGCTCAGGCTGTGGAAATAGCTGATTCTGACTCTGAAGGTCTTTACCTTCAGTGTGTCTTGATGACTGAAAGTGAAACAGTGCAAATATCTGTGGTTTACTTGAGTGGTCAGGCAAGGTGTAAAACATCAGTTGTTTTTGTAAAAATCCCCAAGTTATCAATAATAGTTTTCTAACATTGAAGGTATTGTGCACATCAGAAAGCTACTCTAGTAGAAAGCAACTCCAATAACGCTGGCATAGGTTGCCCAGAGAGGTTGTAGATGCCCCATCTCTGGAAACATTCAAGGTCAGATTGGATGGGACTCTGAGCAACCTGATCTGATTGAAGATGTCCCTGCCCATGGCAGGGGGTTGGCTGGATGACCTTGAAAGGTCCCTTCCAACCCAAACCATTCTATGATTCTATATCTGACGCAATAATAGTATACTTACCCTGTGCCAAAAAGTAGATGATTGCCTAGAGACCTCCTATCACATTCTTGTATTCGGTATGGAGAGAGATAACAGGTCCCAGTCAGTAATATGTCTACTTGATGACTGATTCCTCCAAGCAGAGGAAAGCAATTAATTAATTTTAACTGGGGAGGGAGGGAAGCTTTATGCAGAAAAATGAAAAAAGCAACTGGACATTCTTAATGGGATACCAAATCTACAATTCTACCAATAAAAAAAGATAAAAACTTGAGCTAAAAGCCAATGATAGTTCAACAGTGGGAATAAAAATTGATGTGTAACAAATAGAACAAAGGACAACTTGAATTTTTATTGATGGTTGTAAAAGGTAGATAACGTTAAAAGACAGCAGAACAATGGTGAAACTGTGGTGAGTGGATGCCCGGAAAATGAAAGAACAGCCCCACACATTCAGACCTAGGGTCCATCTAGTCCAGTGTCCTGTCTTCAGCAGAAACCAACATAGATGCCCAGGGAAGAGCAAATACTGGATTATTATGTATAATAAATCATTCATTATCTCCAAATATGAAATATTTTCAGCTTAATTCCTTGAATGTAATATGTTTTTTAATTTAATTACCTTCAGTGACTCTTGCTTCCCTGTATTTACATAATCTCCCCCTGAACACAGCTAAACTGCTACATTCATAATTTCTTCCAGTGAAGATTTCAACAGGTCCAACACTCTTTGTGCAAAGAACCACAGCTACCTCCTTTCGACGTTTTTTTTTTTTTTTATATACTCCGCTATTAACTTCATTTTGCAGGCTTTATTTCTCCTACTGGAAGAAAAGGTGAATTGTCGGTATGTAGTGACAGAAGAAAATTTTTCATGTACTAGGAAGAAAAGAAATCCTAGCTGTTTTTCAGCAGCATCGTTGATAGACTAAATGGAACAAACATCCTAAAGGGGAAGGTGGATTCACTGTTGTTTTATACAATTTCCAGCTTTGCCTGAGTGTTTTCTGGAAAGGAATGATGGATTTGGTCAAACATACCCTATATCGTTAAAGACTGTTATTTGCCATGAGGTTTTATGGTCAGAACAGTAATCTAATGGTCCCTCCTCCTGTCCTTCAGCACTCTTAAGCTGGGGAACAATTGCCCTGCAGATGTTCACCTTTTATCTGGGCAGGAGAATACTTAAGAGTAGGACTGTTTGACAAAATTTTGGATATCCACTTCCTGTATTTTCATGAATCTCTTGACCATACTCATGTCTTCTGAATCACTATGAAGCCTCTTATCCCCTCTTGTTTTTTTTGTCTGTGTCAGATATGAAGGATGCCATTACCACAGGACACATCACCAGTAGAACAGAACCTTTCTGTGGGAGGTTCAGTGTTCACAGACCAAGCCAGCTGGTGAAAACTTCCTTATCAACTCTACCAAGATATGATCTTAATGAATACACACATGTAAGTGGATGCTCTTGATGAGTAAGTTGCACTGGGAACTGAATACTCAGAGCCCAATCAGCAACGTAAAATCATCTGGTCTGCTTAGACTTCCCCCAAATCCACAAAGGATCCTGTCTTTGAGCTGTGCTTGTGGAGAGAGCAGAGTGTCTTTTATTGACTGGGTGGATAGTTTGAGATCCCTGAGATGCAGATATTGTTTAACACCCCTGACTTCTATCTGCTCCTGGGGAAGCAACCCTTGCTGAGGGAAAGGAAAAGATGGGATGGTGCTGGGAAAAGATGGAAGATGCAGGGATGACTGCTTCTTGACAAAAGGAAAAAACCTCTTGTTTTCTGGGGGTCCACTCTCGCTCACTTTTCTGCTAATCTTCTACATCTACTTTTAATAGGAATAAGGTCTTGATTTCAACTCTGCCACCCTTTCTTTGCCACCTGAGGGAAGGCAAATAGTTGGAGGTTGAAAGGAAGGAGACGGGAGGGAACGACTCATGCCCAAAGCCTCCTGCAGTCCTTCCAGACTCCTTCCAGTTCCCCTTCACAGACCTCTTCACGTCCTGTTTCCCCACCTGACACCCATCCCAAACCTTGCACCCCGTAAATCAAGCCAACTCCTCCAATCTCCTTTCTTTCCTTCTAGATACTTGAAATCCCCATTGGTAATTCCCAGCTGCGTTTTGCCCCAAAACCTCACTGAAGCCCAAGGGGTCAGTTTCACAATATATGGTGACACACAGGTCACCTGGATGCCATGCGCTGTCTTCTATAGGTGCTATTCAAAGCAATTTGGTCTTAAGCGGTGGGCTTTATTGCTGACCTTGAACAACATGTTTCCCAGCTAATGTTAAATTGAGATTGAAACAGAATATGGTGTATTCTAGAGACATTACATATAAATTACCTGTGGTTTGATTTGCAAAAATTTTGTTGCCTGTTTTGCAGGTGTGTTTTGCACATAAAGGCCATATGAGCAATACCCTTCATATCTTGGTGTCCTACACCAATGTCTCTTTATGTTCAGTGAAGAGGAACCTCACCTGCCTATGGAATTTCAATGAAACTGAGTCTAAAAGGTATCCAGACACTTATAGCTTCCAGAGATTACACTTTCCATAATAAGAAGCTGGACTAGGAAAACTGAGAGAAGTTCTTATTTGTATAGGAACAAATAGTCAGTTGGGGTAAGATGACACCTCAGGCTCTGTCCCTGCAGAGGAAAAAAAATTCCTGGAACATGCTTCCCTCCTTTTTGAGGATTTACTGAGTAAATTTGCACATTTCTTGTTATATGCACTATCTCACCTTAGTAATGCACAGATGAAGAGGTTGTTCTGTCTCAGGTAAACACACCAGAGGGGTTCTGAGGACATTAATTTCCCAGTTTCTTTGGCAACAGTCAGTGGATTTTCTGGAGTGAGATAGAGACATAAGTTGTGTTTTGTTTTGGTGTTGTTTTTTTCCAGGAAGCTCATGAGATCATTGGTACACAAAGTTATGAAAATTGGTGTAGTCTTTGATTTTCTGTATTTACTTAGAATTACATGGGTAGAAAACATTTGAAGTTAGATGTAAAGCTTGGGGCAGGTAGACTTAAAAAATCAAGAGTGTCTGAAGAACTTCGGGAAGTGAAGCATCAGCTTGAGTATCTGTTAGGTCATATGAGGGGGTTGAGTGCATGCCTGGAAGTTGGAGAAGGGATTGGGATTAAAGTACTACATGGTGGAAAGAGTTGGGAGCCTTGAGCTATCATCTGGTATTCCCAAGGGGCCTGAACGCTGGATTGACCCGCATTGAGGTCACTAACGCTATTGTAGTGTTTTGCTTAAAATGGAGCGGTGGTAGTCATTCCCACAGCCCACTCTTGTGATGCAGAGGAGGACATCTAAGAAGAGATCTAAAGCTTTGTTTCTCACTATGGGGAGACCTGCGGAGAGTACTCACAAGCCATTCAGCTTGTGTGTGAGTAAATAACAGTAGTAATAACAGCAGTACCTGATGTTACCTGGAAGCTTCACAAAGCACCTCAAAAGTCAGTTATTGCCACTACCTCACAGCAAAAGAGAGCTTACACAACCTTGGTGTCTTCTAGCTGGACATTTACGTGCACTGACCTCTGGAAGGGGTGTGTGAATCTCTCCACACTTCTCCAGGACCTCCCTGCCAATTCCCCAGTGTTTGTGCATCAGATAGACTTGCCGAGCCCTGTGCTGCAAAAGGAAACCTCTGGGTCATTTTACCTTGATGAAATCATCATTGCAGACAGAACTGTGACTGGTAAAGGAATCTTTTTCTTTTCTGTTAATGTTATTGTCTTTCCAGGATACTCCATTAAAATCTTGAATGATGGGACTGGTTGAAACTTTTTCAAAGGGGAAGGATATTTCACAACAGGCACTAAACCAATTTTGTTTTCCTGAACTTATGTCTTTTGTGAAAACAATCAAGAAGGAATTGCCAAATATCAATATTCTTCGTTTATTTGAAAATATGTTTCTACAAACGTAACTGTTGAATGGTCTTGCACAGACAAAAATAAGCAAAAAAACCCCCAAGCTGATATATTTCCATCTATGAAATGAAAATAACCTAGGCATAGTGACAGCTGTTCTCCTTCTCTAATGAATGCTTGTGCTCTTTTTCTTTCAGTTTCTCAGAGAGATCCCAAACCACCTCAACCAGGTGGGAGGATAGTTGAAGCAGTATCTGTGGTGGGGTCTTCTCCCACTTACAATGTGTCCTGGATGGTGTCTGGCTGTGGTGCAAGTCTGCCCCTTCTCTCTCCAAGGTAGGGACAGTGAGTAGATCATCTCAATACCCTGTAATACCTCTTGCAGTTCCCTCTGATGTGTCTGGAGTGGGTTGTCATCTAAGACAGAACATGAGAGGCAGTGGAGGATAAGGCTGCAGCTTGGCAATCCCTGTGCTTTCGTTGCAGTCTTCTTCTCAAGGCATTTCAAAGGGACCATGTTCAGGCTGTTTAGACTACCAAATCCTGTGCAGATGTCTGTATTCAGTAGATGGGCTGCAGTTCTAAATAAAGATACTTAATTTCACTCTCAGCACGAGTGTTTTGAGCTTTGCTCACCATATAGAATCTTGAACATATATTGCAGACAGCTTAGTGAAGGTATCTGATTCTGGTATTGAAGTTGCATTGTGTGAGTGGGATTCAGCTAAAAAGCTTAAGATTTTTCAGTTAACCTGAGGTGTAAGGTATGCTTGGACCACCAAGATATGGTGTAGGACTAGAAGGAGATCTAAACCCTCCTGGACCAGTAGATGGAGATCAGCCAGAGATGCTCCCAAACACCTAATAATACCAATTACCATGTTAGGCAAAGGAAGTCCACCTTAAGTGTCCTTGTTTACTGAGATGGTTTCTATTCTGGAAGTCCCAACAATGAAAGAGGAGGCAGAGACATAGACTAACCAGATCAGAGTGCAGCATTAAAGGGTTGCACTGACAGAGAGTAAGTCCTGTAAAAGTTGGATTGTAACTAGTCAACAAGGACCTGGTGGGAATAAAGCCAGGCAAGGGAGAAGCTGGAACGATGCAGACTCTTCTCCTCTGCAGCAGCCAGCTGTTAGGTTGGCTCAGTCACTTCCCTCAAAGTGACTTGCCCAGGCATCCACAGGAAACCTCCTTTCAGAAGAAAGTGAACCTCAGCCTGCTGTAACTTGATTTAGTTTCTTACCTTGTGGTCTCTCCTCTTTCAAGCAAATGCAAAGCAAGGTGTAATTAGTTTTGAGTGCTCTAAAGACAGCTAGATTCTCCTTTAAGAGGTGGCTAAGATCTGAGGAAAATTAGATCTGGTTCCCAGAGCAGCCAAATTCTTGCATTTCCTGGTGAAATCCATGGCTTTGGTGAATTCATAAATCACTTGTTGGGGTTCAGAGAAATAGTCCAAGTCAGCACAAAGAAAAAGACCGATGCAATCCAGTTTTCCCAACGTGATAGCTGCTCAGCAGCAGCTCAGACTATTGTCCTGCAAAGCCTAAGTCTAAGAAGTCGTTTGGTAAAACAGTTAAACCACAGTTCAGACCTAGCTCTTTTGTAGAAGTCAACTTAGCTAGCACAGCATAGAAGGATTTGACTTGTAAAAGTCTCTCCTTGAAAAGCACATTTAATTGCCAGTGTCTGATGTAGTATTTTGACATGAACCACCAATGGTAAAGGTTGGATGAGAATACAGGGGGATTTTTGTGAGGTTTAATATGCATGAGCAGATGTGTAACTAACAGAAAGGGGAAACTTTTACTGCTGTGTGTAGCCTTAAAAGACTGACATTAGAAAGCTACAAACAGTACTGATGACCACATTTTTCAAAGGGATTTAGAAAAACTGGGGGGAAAAATAGCCATAAGCATGATTGTGGAGCTGAAGAAAATGCCTAGGAGAGAAAGATTTAAGAAGCTCAACCTGTTCAGCTTATAAAAGAAGGATTAAGAGATGGATTGATTACAATACCTCTCACCAGGAAAAAAAAAAGTCCTCGGCACTGGTTTCTCCGTCTCACAGAGGAAGATATAAGAGAAACAGTGTGTGATGCTGAAGCCGGGAAGACTGAAAACAGAAATCCGCATATGCTTTAAAAATGAGTGGGCTGATCACTGTCTTTGGATATCTTCAAAAAAAACCCCTGGCTTTCTGTTAACGGAGGACATGCTGTGCTTATTCAAATACAACTTGCTGGAGTCGGGACAGGAATATTAGGTAAAATCTGATGTCCCAGCTGTACATCAGCTGAGAAGGCTCAGTGGTACTTTTGGTTTTGTGTTCTCCAAATGTGCTCTGCAGAAGCCACGACAGAGCTCCGAGTCTTCAGCTGTTACCCAGACACTTAACCACGTGGTGGCATCGTTGTACCACAGAGAGTCTCCTTTTCCTTTCAAACAGGAGAATTTTAGTAGCAGCGGAGAAAATATTTTAAGTTTTAGAAACCGGGCTTTGGGTGAACTCTAATATAAAATATCGCTGTAATTCAGGGGAGTTAAGATTTTGATAGACTCAAAGAGACTACAGGATGAAGTTAGAAAGTTTTTGCTTTGATGTTGCAGCTGATGTCCAGGCTGCGTTGAGTTGGTCCTTTAAAAACACCAGTACTGGGGTAGGACTTGCTTGTGCTTGGTGCTGTATGAACTGTTTCTTCTACAATAATTAAAAAAACAGGTGTTTTTCCACTGTTTTCTGTTGTGTGCGTTGCCTACTTTATGTAGGTATAAGTTGGGAGCATTCAATTCTATTTGAGGTCTGAATGTGTTCTCCTTAGGTCCTTCAAGAGTGTTGTTCCCATAGGTGTCCCTCTGCTGCTGGTTGACATGGGGGTGTCAGAATTGGAGGCCTTGACTGCTAATGTCTTCATGTGATCCCTCTCTGTCACACAGAGGTGCTTTGCTTGGAGAGGGTTCTAAGGAGTATGGTTACCTTTATGTCTCCACGGAGGATGTGAGAGTCAGCCTCACCGTTCAGAGACTGCAAAAGTCATCCCCACCTATTGGAGGGACCTTCCGCATCCACTTGGCCAATACAGTGATATCAGGTAAGAGAAGATGCAGGTACAGGTCCTGGATTTCCTTTGCAGGAAGCCAAATGAAGAAGAGACAATACTGAACCTTGGAAATGCTCAGGGTACAGGCTGACACGTTAAACCCATTGTGATAGTTGCTAGATCTTTGCATTTGATGTCCTTCAAGACAGGAGTTAAGGATTATAGGCAGGACAGTATTTCTAGATGTTAGGTATGGAGTTGTTCCAAAATGCATACAGCCACTATTAAATATTTGCCTTAATGTTAAAGAACTTCTGATCAGATCTTGACCTGGGATTTTGCATCCCGAGGTTTTGTTATGCTGATATTTCTCCAACATATATACTTCTGGTGGTCTAGTATGACAAGGCCCGTGCAGGTTACCAGGAAATTAATTCTGTTCTAGGATTACCAGGGTTGGTAATTGGTTTGCAGATACCACAAAAGCTTTTGTACATAGAATTGCTTGACTTGAATTAGTCACCCTTTAGATGTACTAGGTTTTCTTGTGTTTGGTTTAAATAATCAAAGAGGCTTAGAATGAAAGCAAGCAGGTTAATCTAAGCAAGGCCAATGATAAAGTTCTTGACCAAGGAACTGGTGACAGTTATAAAGTCAAATAACAAAACAGGAAAATGCAACCTTAGAATATTTGTGAAACAACCCTTTCCTCTATGTTGTCACTTGCAATTTTCCTACAATAGCTGAAGACTGTCTCAGTAGTGCCCTGATTTGAATATCACCTTTTAAAAATGTACTCCATTCCTCTTGCCCTGTTCCCAGGTCTTGTGCTTTCCCCTCTTTCTTATGAATTCTTACGAGATTTATTCTATCTGCAGCTTTGAATGGCTACAGGTATTTATGTCAAAAAAAGGAAAATATTTGCATTTATTTGGGATTGGACTCTAGACAGTTGTCTTGATACACTTAACTCTCTCCACACCTGTCTCATGTAGGAAGTTTCCAGACTTTCTATTTTGAAGGAAAATGTCTTGCACACTGAAATTTCATGTTTGTATGTTATATAAAGTATTTCTTAAACAAAACTTCTGATGGTCCCAACTGGAGAGAAGTTTCTAGGTTTTCTTAGCTATTAAATAGTGCAGCAGATCTTCAGACTAGATATAAGGAAGACATTTTTTACAATGAGGGTGGTGAAACACTGGCACAGATTGCTCAGAGATGGTTGATGCCCCATCCCTGGAAACATTCAAGGCTAGGTTGGACGGGACTCTGAGCAACCTGATTGAGTTGAAGATGTCCCTGCTCATTGCAGGGGGGTTGGACTGGATGACCTTTAAAGGTCCCTTCCAACCCAAACTATTCTATGATTCTATTCTATGCTTCTGTGATCTTTTGGCATTTGGGGTCCAGTAAATTTCCCTCTGCTGCTTTTTAGCAGTTGCAGAGGTTTGAACCACAACAGCCCTGCACAAATAGTAAAATGTCTTTCTTTTCTAGGAGCAGGTAGATGTCCTCTTCTAAAGATGGTGATATCCACTACTTTCTAATGTCTTTTGCAGATGTTTCAGTGCACATCTCCTCCAGCCATCTCCGCAAACTTTTACAAGACAACATAGATAACTCTACAGCCCCGTACTTCAACACCAGTGACTTCATTGTGACCAAAGACTCAAATTCTTGCTATGAAAGCATCTGGACACTGACTTGGAAAACAAAAACTGGGGACTTGCCCAATGTTATCAATGTACAGTAATTTATTTTTACTAACATACACTTTGAACCCCATTCAATGTCTTTGACCTTGGCTGATTCATTCTCCCAATGTTTGTTTCTATGAAGACACCTGTGGGATCTTAGGCAACCCATCTTCCTATTAGGAACAGCAGCTTAAGCAAATTCCAGATTAGATGATTAAAAAAAACAATTGCAGTTGCAGGAGAAATTATGTCTCGGAGTCTGTGCTTCAAAATAAAGGGGCTAGAAAGTAGTTTCTGTGCTTTGTTGCAGTTCTGCACTATAAAGGGACTGGTATACTAAACAAAATCTGTTCACATTAATATTTCAGTACAGTAACTGAAGCTCAGTACAGGTTTGTGGACATTTATGGGCCAAGAATATCTTTTCCTGAGAACTATTCTGTATGGGTTCATATCTGGTTCTTGTAAGTCTCAGATGAAGGTTCAGGTCACACTCTCCTGTCCTAAGATTTGCCATGTTAAAGTTTTGCTTCAAGTGGAAGCATCTTTTTTGAATAAGGACTCAGACTGAGCTGCTTCCTCCCTCAAGAAGGATTTTTTATATATATATATATATATATCCAGCTTCTAAAAGTGTAAAATTATTTTCAACAAAGCAATGAGTTCCCATGCTCCAGACATTGGCCTGGAGGGTGAAAAAACTTGAGCTGCATCTTCAGGTGTAGCGTAGGCCCTTGTTCCACCCAAAGTCGTGTCTTTGAGAAGCTGATGTTCAAAACTCTTTCCATGCCTAATTCCAAATGATATTATTGAGTATTAGAAATTTATTTGCAAATCTGCTCCTGGATCTCTTTGCCTCAGTTTGCAGTCTCTTTACCTGCAAGATGGGGATTGGAACAGCAACATGTTGGGAAGTCTTGGGCAATGAAGATTTAGACCTGGAAATATGATTCAGGGAAGAAGCTTGCAAAGAGGTTTCCAGGAGTTATTTGCCACCTTGTAAAGACTCTGTATGAACTCTAGGGAAATGGTTTTAATTTAAAATCACAGGACAGAAAATTCTTTGTTCTTTGCTAGGTCTCTGCCGAAAACCTCACTGGTGTGAAGCCAACTGTTTCTAGTCGTGTGGTTTATGACGGGGGTGTGTTTATTGGACCAATATTTGGGGACATGCTTGCTACTTTCAATAACAAAACACAGGTGAGTTAATATGCTGTCACACTTTCTATTGATTCACCTGGGTTTTATAGATCCAGGAGTCTTCCAGGTATTCAAGTACCTAATTCTGCCACTAAATCCTTTCAGAAACCTGCCGTTCTGTGCTTTGCCATAAATAGGTCAGATTCTGCTCCCTAGTTTGTGAAGCAGGACTTTCCTCCAAGAGCTATTGCAGGTGGGGAGAATGATCATCATGGGTGATGAAAGACAATTTATTTCTTTTAAGGCAGTGGCCAAGGGCTGATGTTGTCTCTGGACTCCCACCCTTGGTGTGTCCTATGGTGCTGGCCACTAAACTTGGGAACAACACTCTACTCATCTGCAGTGTTCCTACTGTTATGCTGATGGGCAAAATAAATGAGATAGTGGCTGTGAATTAGGCATATCCCTCAGCCTCTGCGGATCTCAATTCTTCAAGTGTGAAAAGGGAGTAAGGAGAGTTTCCTGGATGAACGAGTCTGCTGGATGGACAAACGTGTTGCAAACTCTGCTCTCGGATGTTGCAGAGCAGTGTGAATTGCTGGTTTTGCTTCCAGCAAAGGCTGCTGGGCACTGTAGCAATAACAGGGTGATGCTGGATGTGCTCAAAGCCCAGCTGTGCAGCATTTGGGGCTAGGTCATCCTGCTTTTTTGTTGAGCCTGTTCCCCAGACAAAGAGGACTGCCCTTCTTCCAGTGGCTCAACCACCTACGTTATCTTTGCCATCAGTGGTGCAGACATATTTGAAGCTTTATTCTGGCTTGCTGCTAGCAACAAGTATAAAAATGTCCCTTTGATTATTGTGTCTGTATTCAAGCAGCGTACTTTGTAACACTGTGTTCCTTGTGTTTCTTGGAGATAGTCTGCTTTTGCTTTTTGCAGGCATTGTGGTACTCTCCTGGCACACCCTTAATACCTGGGAGAGAGATGAAGAGGGGCTCTCCTATGCCCTATGCTTTGCCAGTTGACCTTTCTGAGATATCAAGATCTCAGAAGAGATATCTCTTATTAAATAATCAAGTTCACAGCTCAGCTTTCTTGTTTCAGCATGAACAAGGGGAAGAAAATAAAATTGAGGGCTGCATGCTGAAAAGACACATTCTGGGATTCATTCTAATTAGTTTTACAGGGTACTTTAAACGTAATAATCTTGTTCCCTAGGTGGGGTGGGGAGAACTGGGGTATGACAAGTAAGGTCTTCGGTGGATGACTAGAAGAACAGGAGTTGGTCTTGTGGGTCCCAGCAAGATGGGAGATAAGATCGTGCAGACACTGAGAAAGGCTGGCGATACAGTTTCCAAAACTGTGCTCTGCTTTGCCTAAGATAAGCCCTGGCAAGTCTTGCAATTAAATTTGTAATGAGACTGCAGCAGGATAAACAGCTGTCTGACTGTGCTCTGCTCTGGCAGAGTGCGCTGGGTAGCTCAATGTGGCTACCGGCATCACTATGCAGGTCTACTAGGCAGATGTGGCTCTAGAAAACATCTCCCTTCCCTTCCCATGTTTAGCGTAACCTTCTTTGTCTCCAGGTGGTGGTGGTGGTGAATGATGTCCTTGCAAACTGTTCTGGTTCATGCTCTTTCCAGTTCAGCCAGGAGCTGACACCCTTAGTCAGCGATGTGGAGTATTCATCAGGTAACAGGGCTTTGTGTCTGAACAAAATGGCAAAAACACTGCTCTCTGAAAAAGTTCTGCCAGATGTTGATGATCTTTTGTGCATGTGTGTTGTTTTGGGAATTTCTGATTTTATGGAAACTGCACTTTGTAGTAGGGCATTTCTGATCAGCTCCAGTCTTAAAGGATATAGCACAGACATGTTTTTACAGCAACATGAAGATGGTAGAAGCATAAAGGGGAGAGAAACAGCAGTAGGCTTGGTGCTTAAAGGAAAGGTGGCTTTTGACTCAAGTTATTTTTAATAAAAATTTAAGGAAAAATGTAATCGCTGGAAAGGGACAGGCAGGAATAGGCATTATGGGGCACAATGAGAGATCATCAGTGGTGTAGTTTTTAGAATGTTCTGATGAAGGTGGTGAAAACTTTTAACTGTTGATTGAAAGTAAATCCTGGGCCTTGCTACACGAAAATTCATGAGTCTTCTTGATTATATTTCTTCAGATGATGGGTCCCAGGCCACAGTAGTTATCAGGGGATCTGGCTTCACTGAGGAGAAGTCAGCTCTTCAGGTGAGGGTGAACAACACGACCTGCAGCGTCATAACGTTGAATCAAACTGAGGTGGTTTGCCAGATGGAGAGGCTACCAGTTGGAGCTTATGAGTTGACACTACTGGTGAGACCTTATGGCTTCGCACTCAATGGCAGCACAGGAGAAGGCATCTTCCTAAGAGCTGAACCAAAGCTGGTAGCTATCGAACCTCCTACAGCTTCAGAGATCGGTAGGTCTGAATGCCAGACTGGCTCCAAGGTGATGTCAGCTTTCTGCTTCTTGCTTTTCATAGCGTGTTTTGGTCGTTCTATACTTTCACTACCAAGTTCTTCACCTGAGGAAAATAATATAATATGGTTGGACACATTGTGTGTACTCCAAAGCACTGGGGCAACTTTCTTAAAGTGACAGACTTTCCTTGGTTCTCTGTGGAGGCAACAAGTTTCCCTGACTAGTTTTGTTTGGGAATAGTAAGTTCAAGTGTAGGCATACTCGTTCCAGCAAATCAGACGGGTATTAATGTTTCATAGCTCATCTTCCCATATCCATTTGACACATAGCTTTGTAGTAGTTGAATTAATCTTGCCTAATTGTGAAATGGCTAAACTTTTGGTTTATCCCAGTCCCATTGAAGTGAATTCATATTCTGAGTGATAAAAGGAAAACTCTGTGTTTAGGTACAAAAATGAGAAACCTAGAGAAGCTAAAACCAAAGTGAATCTCCTTCCATTCCCATTACCCCTCCTCTCCTTGAAACAGAAGAGGAAATAATGGGTGATATATTCCATCCTTGAAGACAAGAGCTTGGAAGATTTTCCGCAGGACTCTGGGGACAAAGAACTATGATGACTCTCTCGTCTGCCCTGTATGTGACACAGATGAGAGGACTTCACCTGGAAGTTCCAGCAAGGTGCCTAGACAACTTATCTAAGCCGAACCAAATGCTGTAAAAAGCTACCCTTTCATTTTTCAGAGAGGAGAAAATCTCCCCGACCCAATAAGAAATGTGGAGAACACTCATGACAAACCTGGATTGTGCAGTAAGGACCAACAGCCTCAGCATATGACTTGTTTTCAAGCAGCTAGGAATGCACCTAGAAACAACATGACCCAAGTCTACTCAGGAAATAAAGGTTACCCAGCTTTTGTCTGCAAATCTCCTAGTTTCATTATTGAGGTGTTTTGTGATCATTGTAACAAACATCACTGGGAGCAGAAGTACTGGCCTAGGTGCAGCATGAAGCTAGCTCAGCCACGTGGCTTGGAGAACTGATTGTGCCATGCGTGGCCACCTTGGAGCAGGCAGAGGAAGAGGATGATGGTCTGTGAACCACTCTGCGGATAAGCCATGGGATGGACTTGGAACAATGCAGGGTTCCTAAGCTGAAAAGCAAGAAATTATGGCCATCTCTTTTCTTATGTTTTGTTGGTGTGTATGGGAAGAAAGCTATTCTAATGCTTTTCTTTCCTTTTTCTTTTTCTTTCCTCCTGATGGGAGGGTCATATAGTACATTAAGGTTAAAACTCACTTTTGATTCATAGAAAACTCAAACCCCTGAAGAACAAACATCCCCAAAAAACCCTAAAAGAAAAAAAGCAGGAAATGGCAAGTTTTAGTGCTTGGGCCTTGCTTCTCATTTTCTTTGCTGGCAATCCAGTTCTTCTCCCAATTACAGTGATCCGTCACTCATTAAAAAGAAAGCAAGTATAATGCGATCTTACATTACATATGCCTTGAACATTTATAATTGGAAAGAATTACAGCTTCCATCTGTGTTTTTAATTTCTTCCATTTAAAATACCTCTCTTCAATCTTATCGTAAAGTACCCATATGCAGTATTTCACTGCATATGGATATAAGTGTAGATATCAAAACTTAAGAGTTTTGATAGACTTTACACAACACACATGGATTTTGTACTCTAAATCTGAGGCTCCTTATCTGATAACTATCACATTAGACAAGTGGCTTCAGTTTGGACTTCTTGATGTTTCTGACCCTGCAAACGTAAAGTTATAAAAGAGGAAGCTATGAAGCATCTTGTACAGTGCTGCATCAGTTCCCTCTTGTCAAAATACCACTGGTCTCAGTGGTGTCATGCTGGGAGATCCCCATGACCTAATTCTATAAGTATGAGATGCCTTTCTAAAGATACTACCATGTTCCAGTGGATAGAAGGAGCTTGCTGTTAACATATCTGATTGCTGTTATTTGCTTGGGTTTACTACCAGCCAGAGAAAATCTAGATGAAGTTTAATCTAGATAATTCTCTGGTGGTTTAAAGAATTAGCAAGATAAAATACTTTGAGGAAAAGGTACAAGGGATTCTGACATCAATATATAATGTCTTCACCACAGACGTTTGCTTACATCACATGAAAAACATCATAAAAGCTCAGTTAATTTGTAATATAGCCCTACTAACACATACACATAAACACTGCATTAATTAAGTTCCTGTGTGAGAAATCTCTGTCCAGCTGTAGTCCTAAAAATCTACCGTACTGATAACTAGAGCAAACAGCTGTAAGTTTCAAGCAAAATTTCTTTTTTTTCTAAATTCCTCTCTGAACCACATCAAAGTCCAGGTTAGAATTGCCATTAATGTCCATTCCTGTTATCTTTCCTGTTTCTCTTTGAAATGTTCCTGAATCTTCTAGTAATTTGGAAAAGCAGAAGGGCACCTTGACTATTTACACTGGAATTGGGTGCTGCAGAAAGATCAAGTGCAAGTCTGACTTGTGTTGGGTATGATCCTGCATGTGATTGGAGAGGCTCAGCTCTGGCTGGCACAAAAGAGACCTGAGGTTGCTTGGTGCCTCACAGAATCAAGCCCTCTGTGACTTTCCTTACAAATCTGCAAAGTCTCAAGCCCTGCCAAGACCCCTTTCTGACCTGTTTCCTAGACACATGCTACAGGCTTTTTTGACAGCAGGGTGCTTGGCAGCTATTTGAACTGTGAAAGCACCTGCTGTGTTAAGCTCATTTTCCATTCTTAATGCTTCTTCCTTCCTTCCTTATTTCGTTCTTGGTCTGGGAATCTTTCTAAGGGTGAGATCACAGGCCAGACCTTGCTGGCTTAAATAAGTATGTCATTAAAAAATAAACCGAGAAACAAACCCAGTCCTCCTGTATCATGGACAAGAATTCAAATAATAGGCAAGAAGGTTCTCTGGTGAGAGAGAGTAAGCTAGACATAGTGAGGTGGAAGCAGATCATCATCAGATCAACTGAGAGAAAACACTTTTGTAGTCACCTATTAATAAGAATCCTTTGCATATAAAAATATTCTGTATCTTGAGTGTAATGGAACAATTGGTTTTGTAGGAGGATTGAGAGTGGCTCTCAGAGGGACCAATCTGGAAGGAGTAAACTTGGTGTTGTTTGGGTCTCAGCCTTGCCCAATTTTGGAGGATGACAGAAATTCAACAAGAATTGAATGTAAAGTTCCCTCTCGGGTAAGAAAACACATTTTTGGGAACAGTCAGCAGCCTACAGGCCTTTCTGTGTTTTCCTGGCCTGAGCTACACTAGGGGAAGGGCAAACAGTAGCCTATCAGCCAAGTCTTGGCTGTGGGACAATTTACCATGGACTCTACCTACAGTTTAGACTGGTCTAATTAACAATAGATTGATAGGTGATTTATGAAAACCGGTGAAACACCAAAAAAATCCAGATTACAACATCATTAGATAAAACTCACACAAAAAAACCTGGGGCTTTGAACTCCAGCAAAATCTTCTACATTACATCCAGATCTGCTTTGGACATTACCTGTGCGTTGTGCAAAAGCATGCCTAGAGATTGTTAGCAGCAGTGCTCTTTGCTGCATGGCAAAATGATACCCAGGATGATACTAATAGATTAAACATAGAGATAACTGTCTATGCCTATGACTTACCACTGTTTAATTTACTGATATGAATACAGCAAATGAAAATCTGCATAGTCTGGGATTGTTTAAAGATTTCTAACTCTCCATAGATGTCTCTTAAATGTGTACAGTTATGTTGACTTTAGAGTCTGGTGTATACACAAATTTCATCAGTGCCATGTGCCTGACTTATTAAGTAGGGGAGATGCAGGGATACAGAGGATAACTTTTCTTTATTGATGCGTTCTTACCCCTAATATTTTCTTCATTTCTGTTTCTAGGGGACAGAAGATGCTGCTGTCCTCATAACACTAATTTCTGGGTACCAATCAACAACAGTAACCAACTTGTTTCAATATGATCCTTCCTTGAACCCTGCTGTTGTATCACTGAGCAGAAACAGAAGTGGCATAGCAGGTGAAAAAGCTGCAGACACGTATTGGGCATTGTCTGTAGAAGTGTTATTGCTGATGGTGGTGGGGAAGGGGGAATTTAGGTCTATGAAGTCTGGTGATCCGACACTGGTTTTTTTGTTGTTTTCTTTTAACTTTTAGTCCCCGTGTTTCTTGTTAGTCCTGATCAGTCCTGGTTGTTTTATGTTGGTTTTACTCTAGCATACATGAGATAATAAGTTGCTTGCCCCAGGCCAGTACAGATGATGTCCACAGGATGTCAGGCATGGTATAGTGCTCCTTTTGTGTCACATTTCTCTAACTCTGAAATTACACAACCCATTTGTTCTTGGTAACAGGTTCAGCCATGACAAGAGAAATGAGCTCTAGAGAGTGTCCTTCTCCGGATCCCAAAGGGTTGATCATAAAGCTCATCATGTGCATTTTGGGTTGCTGAAAGCAGAAGAGAGGCAACACTTGTCTTCCTAGTTCCCATTTCCAAGCCAAACTGTTTTGTCCAGTTTGACCTTGTGATACATTACTTTAGAATATGAATGTAGACTTCATGGGCTTTGTAGAGCAAAATCCTAAGTAGATCTCATGGAATGTTTAGCATTCCTGTCTTTGAAAGTTTCTGTTTGGGGTTGGGTTTTTCACTCATTTCTCTTCTTTTTTTTTTCCACAAGGTTTTGGTTGGGCATTGGGAATAGAGGGCATTAATGGTGAATGGTGCCCACTTACAGAAAACTCTTTTAGGAAGAGGATTTACCACATTTTTGGGTGGCAACCAGACACCAGATTCTTAGTATCTGAGAGACAGAGAAAGAAAGAGAGGAAGACGACAGATATATTCCTGCTTTCCTACCCACCCCACTCTCATTATTCCAAGGATTCACTGGATCCATGATTCCAATCATCTGATTTTATTTTTCTCTCTTTTTGCAGCCTCTCCAGTGCACACCTTAAAGTATCTCCCTCCAGCTCAGCAATTTGGCTGGACTTGGTGGGGATGCAATGAGTTAGATGACTGCCAGTGATGAAATGCACTTCTTGCTACACGTCTGGCATTTCTATTCCTTTCCCCAAATGCCCTTGTCATTTTCTATTACTCCAGAATGCATAAATAAGAGAAAACGTCCTTTATCATCTGAATATTATTCAGATACCATAGCATCAAGGGGAGATTTTTCTAGCCGTGGGCAGGCCAGGTGCAAGAAATTCCTTGATGTTATAGTGTCTCGTCAATGGTGGTGTGGCTGAGTTCAATCTCCTATTCAGAACCTCCACAGCTTTGTCTTTTAATATAATTTTCCTCCTATATAATAAAAAGAATAAATAAATTAAACTGATACCTTCCAGGCACCTAGGATTAAGCTGACAATTGACCAAGAGTCCAAAGAATTCACGCTATTAATATATTCAACTTCTCAGGCTTTCAAACTTGACTCTTTGCTCATGCAGAATTGAAAAGTACTGGCTTCAAGACCTGGTTAGAGGAACTGGTAGATGAGGGGAGTTTTGTACAGGCTGTCCTGTTTCATGGAAGGCAAAAACTAGTCCAAAGTTGAGGATGCAGAGCTGAATGGTAACAGTTGACCATGCCTGCTGTGGAGGTGATGCTAAAGGCAAGTGACCCTGGCCTCTGCTTGGGAGACAAAATTGGTACTCAGATCTGAATCTCTAGTAAGGATACATCAACCTATAAAAGCTAATTTTGATTAAGACAAGAGGAGAGAGTAAAGCAGATGAGCTGCTCCTGACTACCTCCCTGTGTGGCTGGGATAACAGTGCCACACGCTCAATGAAGAGGAGGAATGGACAAAAATGAAGCTGTTCTGTGACAGCTGATCTTCACCAGATGTTCTGGAGTTACTCTGTGGGTAGACAAGTGTTTTGGACTGGCCAACTCAGGGGGATGGTAAAGAAATATTTGCACCTTTTGCTTGATTAATTTAGGAAAGAGACTTAAGTAACATAGTGGTCTATGACAGCAGGGAGTTAGATTTGAAGAGCCCTTCTCATCCTGTGTATTCCTGCTTCTGTGCGAATGAACCCACATCCTTCAGGGGAGACAGGAGGAGGAGACTCCCATCCTAAACACGTCTCTGTCTGTGCTTGTTGTTTAAATGTCGTGCATAGTGAGTGAAGAGAAATAGATGGTTCTGTGGTGGGATTCACCACAGCTCTTTTGTGCCTTCCTTACAAATAAGATGAATCATGCCATAAAGGCTCTGTGTCTCTTCACTGACTGCAGATATGGCTATTTGAGTGAAAGTGCCTTTATTTGGACTGATACATACCAACCCAATTTTTAAAGATATTTCAGGAGGCATTTCTTCTCTACTGCCCTTGTCTTTTTCTATTACTGCACTATGCACAAATAAAGGAAAGTAACCTCTACCATCTAAATATAATTTGGCTCACATCAGAGCTTAAATGGGAGAGGGGCATATTTCCTGAAAACAAGGCTCTTTGGAGCTGTGCTTGTTTTGGCTGGGATAGAGTTAATTTTCTACATTGTAGCTGATATGGGGCTGTGTTTCACATTTGTGCTGAAACTAGTGTTGATAATTCAGGGATGTTTTCGCTATTGCTGAGCAGGGCTCACACAGAGTCAAGGCCTTTTCTGCTCCTCACCCCACTCCTCCAGGGAGTGGGCTGGGGGGTGCACAAGGAGTTGGGAGGGGACACCGCTGGGACAGCTGACCCCAGTGACCAAAGGGATGTTGCATACGATATGATGTCATGCTCAGCATATAAAGCTGGGGGAGGAAGAAGGAAGTGGGCAACGTTTGGAGTGATGGCGTGATGGCGTTTGACTTCCCAAGTAACTGTTACACGTGATGGAGCCCTGCTTTTCTGGAGATGACTGAACGCCTGCCTGCGGATTGGAAGCAGTGAATTAATTCCTTATTTTCCTTTGGTTGTGTGCACGGCTTTTGCTTTGCCTATTCAATTGGCTTTGTTTCAACCCACAAGTTTTCTCACTTTTACCCTTCTGATTCTTTCCCCATCTTGCTGAAGGGGATTGAGCAAACGGCTGTGTGGTGCTTCATTGCTGGCTGGCGGTAAACCACAACAGGAGCGTATGTGGGCATCTGGCTTTAGATACCCAAGGAAATTTTCATTTAGCTGTGGAAGGCTCCTGTTACAGTTAGCTCCACAGTGCTGAAAAATGCTGTCTGGATCATTTGTCAGGGATATATGAAAAATCCTAGAACTCCTCAGCTCCAGCTTGTGAGCTTTAGAAAGACTGGATTTGGCTCTAATCAGTTGCAGATATTTATAGGATAGATGTTTATGCTAAAGGAGCATGGATCCTATCCTGAGTGTGTACCAGCCGGCTGAGAGTGGCCATAGGTGGTCATAGCCAAGTTCACTGTGCTAACGTCTCAAAACAACCCTGGTAGCTGACGACCTTATCAGGGTCAAACAAGGGACGAGTGGGATACAGAACCACTTTGGTCTTCTAGTTTTTGTTTTGGGCTGACGGACATGACTGGACCTGTTCTAGCATGATAGGACTCCATGCTCTTCCTCGGGCAAAGGTTACATGCGGTAAAATAACTCTTGCCAGAAACACTGAAATAATTTCATGCATTCTCCTCTCTGCAGGGGGTCAGGAGATTCAGATTGGAATATCCCAGTTCGCCAGCTATCGAGGGTCAGATATCAAGGTTCAAATTGGGAGCTCATTGGCACAGATCCGGGTGCAGACGGACCATGGTGTTAATGTGATGCTTCCAGCCTTGGCTGAAGGATGGTACAATGTTTCTGTCATCATCAATGACATTGCTGTCACAAACAGGTACGTGAACATGTGTACTTTCCTTAAGATATAAATTTGATTCTCCATCCTATTTGGTATTTTAGGGTTAATCTGAAAAGAAAGGTAAGAGTCTTCACAAATTCTGTACCTAACAGTGAAATCTGCAGTGTGGTATAAAAATATGAATAATTATCAAGGCACTTATTGATCTGTGGAACTCAAGTCAGCAAACTGCTAATGCTAGTCAATTAAGTCCCCTTGGATCAGTAGGAGGCAGAAGAGAAACATTTTAGAAAAAACGGTTGATTTGATGAAAAATGCATATTCAGGCAATCAAAGGTATTCATAGATTCAGGTCAAATGCAGATAAATCCTGCTGTAGGAAAACAACACAAGAAAAGAAACACTTTTCATGAGAAAAACAAAAGATAGTTTGAAAAATAAAAAAGTGCTTTCTTTGGAGAATTTTTAAATGATGCTATTTCTGTCTTTTAAGGTGACACTTCAAGTTCATGTCTAGATAAATGTAGTATAAATGAATTAAAATGTGGGGGGAAACTGACCTGAAAGTGCGATGCAACAGCGTGTTCACAAGCAACACACTTTTGCTTCTCAGCCACACAGCTCTCATCCATGGCAACTGCTAGGAATGATCCTACAACAATAGTACTGGGGAGAAGAGAGCTGCTTTTATTGCTCACAAGCCACCCTAACCTGCTTCTTGCATTAATGAACTTCAGAAGGAGAAAGCCTGTGGTCAGTGGGATGACACACAGAGATTCATCCCATCTGATACTGGAGTGTTAGCAGCAGCATCAGTTTGTCTCAAGGGACAGAGAGTGGAAGGAGATGGGTCATCGCAGGAGACAACTCTGATCTCTGGTGGGCTGGATTGCAGGCTTGGGAAGGTCTACTTCTCTAATGTGTCTTTTTAGGGTCGGGGATGTTTTTGAAAGGAGGATGATGAGGAGGAAAAATAGATGTAGGTGGGACAGAAGCAGAGCCATAACCTTATCTAAGTGGGCTTCAGGAGGTTATGTCTGGGTTTCCTCTTGCTGCAGTTACCTCTGCTGTCTGGTGGGAGGGTGTAAGGAGGGAAGGCAGCTCGAATGTCTCTTCAAGGCACTTGCATCTCCTGTCTGTGGCCATAGCTACAGTGGGATCTGTTTGGCAAAAAAAGCCTCCTCATTCTTACTTCTTTTGGTGGGTAATTCAGTTGCACCTCATGGACTAAATTTGGCCCAGAGGCTGCCACTTGATAAGACAGTGTTCATAATAGATGTAGCTCAAATCACATGGAAAAATTTGGAATGTGGGGTGGTCTTATCAATGTGGCATTGAGCAAGGGGAATATGCCAGATGGATGTTTGGCCTTCCAACCTAGAAGGAGATGTAAGAAAGAGTAGCACTGCAACAGGAGGGAAAAAAAATTATATATATATAAAAAAACCAAACGACTTTCTATGTTGCTTGTGTTTTGCAGGGTTGAGCCGTTAATCCAGTACCTCTCAGAGATCTTCAGCATAGAGCCGTGTTGTGGCTCCTTTCTGGGTAAACAGCATCGGTACATCTGCAGCCACTTAGGGAGGTTAAAGGGATCAAGGGCACAGTTTTCCTGCAGGAATGGAAAGGGCATCCCATTTCACATCAGTTTAAATGAGGGTGTTTTAAATGTGTGACCCTTTATTATGCAGACATCAACTGGCAGACAGCAGCAGTCTGGAAAAGTGGCATTGCAGTGAACATCCCTCAATCTGGTTGGCTGGCTCAGGGCTCCCTGTGCTTTGAATTTGATTTCCCCAAGTGTTTGCTCATGTATTCTTGCATGTTCCCATCGGGAAAACAAAGTACGCCCACACCTGACTCATCTGTGCTGTTTCTTTCAGTCATTACGCCTCCATCTTTCAAGGCTTTCTATGTGAAAGTTAGGTGGAAAGCAGGGTATGATTGTGGTTTGAAGTAAACAATAATTTCAAGTGATCCCTAAAGGGGACATTTGTTTTTGTTAAACTGAAAAGACAAAACCCCTACCTTTTTCAATGTTAATTCTAATCAAAAGTGAAATATTTATTAATCTTGTTCCAAGCTTTTAAATATTGGAAATAATTTAAGTGTGTTTCAGAGCAAAACGTCACTGAATTAAAAAGAAAAGTTTTACTTCAAATCTTAAAAAGCAGATCTGGAGTGGTTGATTTATTTTGTCATTTGGCTGGGTGTGGGGGAGAGTTGAATCCCTGTAGTAAATTTTACATAAGCCCTTAGAAATGCTTTTCTAGAAGACAGAGAAATTCTTGTGATGCAACCTCAGGTCCTCCACAGATTGCTCTCTGAGGCTCACAACACATTTAAAGATACAAAAACTCAGAGGCTTTGTGGTATGTGATTAGTTCGATAGTTTGTGAAGTGCCCAAGCCTTGAAAGATGAGAGCGTGGATAGAGCTTGGAGAGAAAAGCCTATCAGTTTTGAAGATTAAGCTATACTAAGAAAAAAAAAAATTATTTCCCCTTCTTTTCATGTTTAAGGGTAAATTGAAATTTAAGGAAGAACTGATTAACTCTTTGGCTGTAGCTTTATGAATAGCTTAAGTTGGCTTAGAATCTCATCGGTACAAAAACCACCAGTCCTTCCTCCCCCTATCTCTGGTCTTTTGTTGTCTCTTGTGTGGCCATCTGGATTAAGGATTTGAGCTCACTCGAAAGGAACCCCAATATAAAACAATTTATTTTTGAGCCAGATCATGGGAAAAGGAAGGGCATGGGCTTCATGGACTGAAGCAAGGCAGGGCACTGGGAGTACCAGTACTGCAAACTAAAGGACAATGAAGAGAGGCTTCAGCTGGGCTCTAGACTTGGAAGCATGGGATTAGGCTGGGAATACTGGAGGATTTGCATTCTTATGATTATCACTTCCTAAAATCCAGACTGCTCCTTCTTCAGTGCTGCCCTTATTCTCAGCACCGTGGGAGACAGCGCAGAGACCGCTGCTTTGCGATGTTATATAAATCCAGATATCAGGATTCACACTTATTCCAGATAATTAACACCTACTTTCAGTGACAAGGGTGGTAGCAGAGACTCCCAAGGCTCCCTCTCCTGTCAATGTGGAGAGGAAGACTCCACTGCCATGCTGTAGAGCAACTGTACTGGATCAGACCAAAGGTAGCCTGTCTCCCAGAGTCACCCAAATGTAGAATGACTTAGGAAGATTATATGAGTGGAGCAGTGAATGATGATACTTGTCTACAACAGTCTTCCAGCTTCTAACACTAGACACAAGAACAGCCTCATCTGGAGGTCATAACTTCGTGTCTAACTCTTCCTGAATTACTCTTCCATTTGAATGACCCTATCATTTCACACCAAGAGTCTATTTACCCATTTGCTGTCATCTTCTGTGGTCTTAAGTAGATACTCAGGATTAAAAACATCCATGCAACCACAGGGGAAAGCAGGACAGCCTGCCTTCCTCCAGCCCATGCATGGAGAGCCCTGGTCAGAGTTGCTTTTGATAGTGGTGGGAAACTGCTTTTCTCCTCCTCTTGATGTTCTACCCATCTTATATGGTACAGACTGGGAGCATATAAATAGGGGAGGGCTTGAAGCTGGAAGCATTCATCAATGTATTAGCTTTTCTGGTCAGTGAACTCCTCAGGGGCAAGTGACCATCAGTGCATGGCAAATCTGGCACTCTGCCTGAGTGGCCAGGCAGAACTGAAGGTTGAAGGAAGGTCTGTGGCTTTTTGTCTGAAAGTAGTCATACTGCATCCTGCTTCCCTATATGCAGCAGGGCTAAACCATCCCTGCCATCTCCCCACCTGCCTGTACAGACAGTCTCATTTCCTGAAGAGTTCAGTCTCTCTTTATTCTCAGGGATTCTCTCACAGCAGCTTCCTCCACTTCTGTGGTGGCTTTCTACAGTCATTTACTGCCACAAAGGTCGCTGGTTATCTCATACTTCGTCCACATAGGATTATCCTAATACATGACTGCTAATATCTCTAGCTGTCATGTTCCAAAAAAAATGATTTAATTTCTTCTTCCATTCAGCCTGGCTAAGACTGTCTGCCATTCTTATCAGCTTTATCATGGTTTGTGATAATTCACAGACAGTCATTAATTCCTTTTCGACATATAAAGTCCTTCTTCCTTGTTTTGTTTTGCTCCTAGGTGGAACACTGCTCACAATCTCTGGGGTGGGCTTTAGCCAAAATCCTGCCCTGGTTTCTGTTTCAATGAACAGGCAAACCTGTACGGTTATGCGCTTGGCAGAAGAGACAGTTTGGTGCCTGACCCCACCAGCTGCTAATTTGTCTAATGAAGATTCAGAAGACATCTCTGTCAGGGTAAACGTTGTCATCAGCGGTAGGTCACTTCAACATGCTCTTTTTGCCAAAAGGACCACCACCTTTAATTACCAAAGAGATTTGACTCCTCTGGTTACTGTTGTTGAAATGGAAATCACATATAGCAGCCTGCTTTTGAGCATCCAAGGGATAAACATCACTGGATCTGTGGCCAAGCTTGGACATAGTGAGTGTGAACTTGAGTTTCAACGTGGCAACACGTCTGCAATGTTTTATCAGTGCTCTTTGCCACTGAACAGCCTGGAACCTGGGACTTTCCCCATCCGGGTTATCCAGAGGCAGCTAGGATATGCTCGTGTGACAGCAAGGCTGCAGGCCCTTACAATAACTCCACGGATAACCTCCATATTCCCATCACAAGGATCAATCTGTGGAGGGATGTTACTCACTATATCTGGCATTGCTTTAAAATCCAGGAGGAATTTGGTACAGATCAGCCTGGAGAGTAATTATTCCTGTGAGATCCAGAACTCTGATAACGATGCCATTAGTTGTATTGTCCTTCCAGGGGCTCATCAGTGGCTGGCTGAGGCATCTTGGGCTCTTAATGTCACAGTGACTGTCAATGGGATCAGCAGTGTCTGCCTCGGAGACTGTACACTCCACCTCCATGAGCAGTGGACCCCCCTTGTAGATTTGGTGACCTGGGAGGCCAATGGAACATTCACCTATGTGATGATCAAAGGACAGAAGTTGGGATGGCCAAGTGATAGCCCCATGGTACATGTGGATAACCAGACTGTCTGCAAGGTAACTTTCTGGAACGAGACCAGCATCAAGTGCCGGACAGATTGCATTGCCCCAGGGGAGCACAACATTTCCATATCCAACAGGAAAAGTGGGCAGGCTTGCTTCAGAAAGGCACCCAGTGTTCTCACCATCCTGCCTCAGGTGTACCAGTTTTATCCACGAAACTTCAGTACCAATGGTGGAGGCTTGCTCACCTTAGCAGGCTCAGCACTGAAAGGAAAGAGAATGACTTCTGTTCTCATTGATTATCAACCTTGCCTCATTCTCAGTATCACCTGTGTAGCTATCCAGTGCACAGTGCCTCCAGGTAATGGGACTAGGACTTTGAGTCTAAAAGTAGATGGCATCTCCTATTACCTTGGAAGAATAAGTTACAATAAGGAGTTTGCCCCAGCTTTCCTTTCACTTGTTGCAACTGGTCCCCTTTTAACGGTGACAATATCACGAGTCACAGAGATGGACACCATCTATGTATTTGTTGGAGACTTTGCTTGTAGTGGTGTCACCATCACTCACTCTACTTTGCACTGCTCAGCTCCGCTGCTCCCTGTTGGTGAGTACCCTGTGCAGGGCCTGGATGTCCCCAGGGGCTGGGCTTCCTCCAACCTGACGTTCACCTCTCCGCTGATGGTGACAGCTGTGCATCGCAACTGGGGTAAGTCATGAAGGCTTGTTGCAGCTTCTCCATGGGGTGCAGTGTGAGGGACTGTGGTGACTTTATTTTTTTACATGAAAACAAATAATACAAATTTAAAAAATACCTTTGTTGACTGTCAGGCTCTGTCTTAAACCCTATTTTCTGTCCTTTTCCAAGGTGGCTTGCATGGAGGAGCAGTCTACCTGCATGGAACTGGGTTTTCCCCAGAGAAAACTTTGGTCACAGTCTGTGGCACCAACTGTGGACTGTTCGGCAACATGACGATGACTGACCTGAGCTGCCTTGCCCCACGCTTACATGGTCAGCTAAGACACAAAACCTGGCATTGTGTTAAAAATATCCCCTAAAAACCTATCTTGACTTAAAAGTGGGGGGTCCCAGTGTATCTCATCCCAGGGGAACAGAGCAGCAGCAGCCCTGAAGAAAAGAGAGAAGCCAACATAACATTGACTTCTGGTTTTTGAGCTCAGTCCAAAGACAATTGCTGTTAGGGGGAGTTTTTGTGTCAATGGCCATGGGCTTGGACTAGATCCACCGTGCGCCTGTGGTCACACATGTTTTGTGAGTGTGTAAGAGATGCACATATCAGCGGTTTCTTGTGGCAGATTTTCATTGGGAAAACCATCTCATGTAAAATGTGCGTGAGGGCTGAAGGGTTGGGTACCCAAGTGCTTCTTGGCCATCATGACTGTCTTAGTGAGTTGAACTCCCTTAAATGCCTTTTCTTCTGTGGCTCCATATACTTTGTGTTTTGACTGCGTGGTGGGACAGCTTTACTGGGGTAGGGGGGTGGGAGGAAAAGGGTAAATGACTGGGAGGATGGACAAATGATGTACTATGACCAGTTCATACCTGTGGAAAGCTGGAGGTGAGAACTTTAATTCCTTGAGAGGACGATGGGATCATCCCACGACCAGAGCATCCTCCTTAATTGGAGAGAGGCAGCAGGGGATGATGCCATGATCCCTAGCTCTCTGAGAGAGATAACCCTGCCTCAATTTTGGAGGAAACTCTTTGAAATGGGCATTTGCTGGAACAAGACATGTTTCCTCCCTCTCCTACTGGCAGCACAGAATTAGGGTCCTAAAATCTGCAAAAGGCAGGATTTAAGACTTTTTAATCTCACCCTGAGACATATGCCATTCCCCAAACGCTAAGCACAAAGCTTAGTGTGCTGCAGCATTGCAACACTTCAGCCCCTTCACAGCTTTGATGCTAGGAGAACATCCTGAGTTCTACAGAAATATCTGCTGTTCTGTAGCCATCCAGAGATACATCAGCCAGGTGACCAAAGATCCATGGCCTCTTATCATTTGTGGACCTGGAAGAAAGGTGGTAGTGAGAGTGTCCATCAGGGTAAATTGCCAGGGTTTTGCTTAAAGATGTGTGGAATCTCTGTCCTCTGAAATAGTCAGAAGTTCACTAGATTAGTTGCTGAGAAGCCAGTCCAATGTGAAACTTAACATTCTTTTGAGCAAGGGTTAGGATGAGAAGCATGCAGGGGTCCTTTTCAGCCTCATGCTGAGAAACTTGTGTGAAACTGAGAAACAGTGTGAAACTTAACATTCTTTTGAGCAAGGGTTAGGATGAGAAGCATGCAGGGGTCCTTTTCAGCCTCACTTATTCCAAAATTACAGATTTATTTTTGTTATTTTGAATGGTTCCTTTCCTGATCCATGAGAAATTCTAAGAAAAATGGGGAGAGGGGAAAAAAAAAAAGGGGCTTTAAAACCCAATCACAAGCACTCAAAAAGAAACACCAAGAGGTCCTAAGGGCTAGATTTTCTTTGTTTTAAACAAGATCCAGGTACAGTCCATGAAACTATTTATTATTATTTTTTAAACAAGAAAAAAGACATAGTGATGGAGTGCTGGAGAAAAAATCAGAGCACAAAACAGGGAAGTCTGGTTATTATAGGAAGAACAGAAGAATAAAATGTGATCAAATTGATCCAAACTGTGAAAATTTTCACAGCTGTGTTCAAAATTCACTGAGTGACGGGCAGCAGAGGGAGCTTGGGAAAAAAAAAAACATCTTGCAGGCAGGACCACAATGCTTATTACTGGCACTAGATGTCAGCAAGTGAATGCTGATTGCTGCCCGCTTGCTGGTTGTGTTTCTGAGAGAAGATGCAAAGGATGCGTTACCTCCCTAACCAAGGGGACATGGGCACTATCGCTTTGGGGCCAGTTACAAGACACTCCATCTCTCCCCCGCTGTGGATTTTGCAGTGCGCAGCCTGGCAAATCTCACCAGTCAAGTTAGAAAAAAAATTTCTTTGTCAATGGAGTATTTACAGGAAAATATTTTCCTGTATTAAAAAAAAAAAAAAAATAATTAAAAAAATCCTTCAGAGGCTGCTTAGGTCTGTGTTTGCCAGGCTGTTTGTACTCCCTGAGACAAGTCATATTCAGCCTGTGCACATTTACTTGTAGCATCAGTGAATCTGTATATAGAGCAAGATGTTTTCCACACAGCATTCCTCCTAATATTTAAGGGATTACACCCCCACACACACTATTTAAGGCATGAGTGGATTTATTAAGTGCAGTTAGTCCAGGCTCACCTCGTGGTTTACATGCTGCTGTTTGCCCGGGGAAATTTACCACTTGGCACTCACACATCCAGTGCTCAGACCTTTCTTTCACAGCCTCGTCCACGTGGGAGAGGTGGTAAAGTGACTTTGGGGATGCAGGACAGTGAGCCGTGAAGGAGATGGGAGGGATAGATCTGTGGTGCCCCAGGGCCCTCGCAGTGCAGAGGCTGGTGTGGTCGGGTTGGACGGTTGTCTGACATTTCCCCGTGCTGTTCGTGGACTGGGTGATGAGAAGTGAAGAGTTCAAGCTGCATTTCTCCTGCTACAGCACTCTGTGAAGCAGAAACACCTCCCCTCCGGCTCTGCGGGATGTCAGGTGGCAGATTGCTGCCCTGGGGTTTCAACGCTAGGTCATGTTGTGTCTGGCCTGCTTAAGATTAGAGATGTTCACATGGGAATCCCCAACCAGTCCATCTAGCTTACCCGTGTGATCAAATCCGTAGGGCAAGGCTCTGTAGGTAGGCAATGTGACTTCTTTCCCATTTAACAGGCAGTTTTCTAAGACACGAGGAATTGCCGGTCTCAGCAGGCTCCATCCATAAGCCTGCCCCACTGGGTCTTCCTTAGGAACGGGTGTTGAGCAGGGTTGCAGCAAGGTTTTGGTTTGATCATTGATAAGAGCTGGGCAGATTAAGTACTGAAACTGTGCTCAATGCAGAGTACAAAGCATAGGAACACAAGCTCAGACGCTTTTATGGAAACTGTTGTTTGTTGCAAGTCACAGAAAAATCAAATCAGAACAGAGCTAAAATTTGAATTTCACCCTTAAAGCTTAAGAAAACAACAAAACTCAATTAAATTAACAAAACCACACTCCCTTCAAGGAAAAACAAAACCAAAACAAAAAAAAAATCCAAACTAACCCACAAGTCTTTAAAGCTCTGGTAAAGAGACAACTGGCTTGATCCCGAGAGTTCTCCCCTTCTCTTGTTTTTGCTTTGTTACTCGTGTCGCAGCACTGTTGATGAGTGCAAATACAGCTGTGGATTCTGTTCAGCTCAGGTTAAATTTACAGAACATGTGGTTAATGTCTGTGGGATTGAATTGTGCTGCTGTGAAAGATGGAAAGTTTGGCAGGAAGCTTGAGGCAGGTAAGAAAATAACTGAATTATTAGGTGATATTGGGGTAGGTACCATATATAAATTTTGCAGTAAGCCAGTGCCTGAGATTGTATGTTTGACATTAGGGTGAGGGTAAGGAAGGCACTTTTAAAAGGAGGTGAACTGATAAGAAGATCCATCAGGGAAAAAGCTGAGTCTGATTTGCCTGGTTGCATCAGAGTGCTTGGAATAACGGGTCTGGCTTTTAGGGCTTTGATGTAACAGCTCTTGGGATCTTTGTTAGCAAGTCCTGGACCTACCGTTAGCCAGACTACATTGGTAAAAGCAGATGTTTAGGGAAGAGGATTTAGGTTAAAGGCTAGAAATGAAATGAGGCTGATTTAAAAGGAGGATAGACATGGATTGGTGGAGCTCTTCATATGGGGCAACAGGAGAAAGAGGAACGAGTTTTGGTTGCAGCAATGCAGATATACCAAGGAGATGCACCAAGCTATGAACAAGGGGGACTATAGCAGGGAAATGGGGTGATTTGTATCAGTAAATGCAGGAGATATGAAGAGGACATGTTGTGGCAAATGAGCCCTCAGCAAAAGCCAGGGCCTCTGGTGTTTATTGTGGAAATCAAACCAAAGGATCCAAATGGTCCCTTCTGTCTTTCAAATTGAGAAATGAAATTAAGAAAGAGGAAAGAAAAAATGCATATTGATTACACACCACGAATGTTCTGACAGTGACATCTATCAGGCAGTGGAATAGATGCTTGCAAAGTCATCTCTTGGGACTTCTGAAACTCAGCTGTGCAAAATGAATGTCTCCTAGGGAGCAATTCTTCACAGGCAGAGGTTGGACTTGACCTTAACAGGTCTCTTTTTTTTTTTTTTTTGTTCACCTTTGTTTTCTCTGCCAAATACGTGTTAATACTGTGCTCTGCAGTCCATTTGCGTGTGGTGGATAACTGGGGATGTGCGGTTTGGCACTGGGGCTCCTTGGGCAGTTGTTCAAGCAATCTGCAGCTGCCCTTGGAACTCCTGTAGGTTTTAGCCTCATCACATGTCCGGCAGTGGTTATTAATCGGTGACCCAGAAGAAAGCCCTTGTGCTGAGCATCCCGGGATCCTGGCTTAAGCCAGAGTATCCCTCAAAGACAGGGTTGGGGGCAGTCAGTCCCTAACCCATTACCAACATGCAGAGATTTGGCTGCCATTGTGTCTGATCTCAAAAAAGAAGCCGTAATGGAATGAATGCATTAATCTCAGTGATGGGATTGTATTACATGTGATTAGCAGGTTTTCTCTTTATAGGGAATATAAAGAATAGAGAAGTTTTATTCTGGGATTTGAACACTAACCGATTATGCAGGGAGAAGAATTGTGTCCCAGAATGGACAGACTATCCTTTTAGGACATATTAAGTGTGTTGCAGTCTTTAGTTGGTATTTTTTGTTACTGCGGTGGCAGGAGATAACAGCACCAATAATAGCAAGGGATATTTGTGTTTGAAGGTCACAGGAAGGGGGATGAAAAAACAAGACTTCTTGCTAACTGAGAAAAGTATTAAATCCTCTGGGAGCAGGGGAATAGGAGGACCGCAGAGATCCTCAAAGAAGGAACGAGAATTGGACATCTCCTTGAGGAGTGATATCTCCATCAGATGGACAGGAGCAGTAGGGTGTGGAGACGAGATCACTCCCTCCTTCTACCTGAGAAGGAGAAAGCAGTCCTAGGTTTGATTCTGAGGTGTATAGATGAAGTAGGGTTTTCTTTTCCGATCTCTTTACAACCCTTTGTAACCATGCTTTCTAGTCTGGATTTTATAAATTAATACCTTCATTTGCCTCATTTAATTTTAAAATGATTTCAGCAGTTGGCAGGATGAGAGGCCTTGTGTTCCTACAGACATGATAACATTGAGATGAGGACACTGGAGGATGTCAGAAGTGACCATTTTCCATGTAACGTTTCAGGGGTATCCAAAGCGTGACAAGCTGTTCTTCCGCTGAGCTCTAAAGGCTGTGCAGGAGATGTCTTCTTGTGGCCTATGTTAGCCAGGCAAGTTCTTTGACAGCAACAAGGTAACTAGGGAAATATTCATATCCTGAGATTCTCTGGGTCATTTCTAACATTCATCCTAAGATAGGGTTCAGGTGGTTTTCTACCCAGGAAGACTCTGCCATATTCTTTTCAAGACTACAAAAGAAAACGAAAGCCTCTTTTCATTAGCTCAGCAACCTGTTGTATTTTCTTAAACTGTGGAATTTAATCTTCCTTTGACCACCCACCTTCAGAGGGTGGTCAAACACTGGAACAGCCTTCCTAGAGAGGCGGCCCATGCCCCAAGCCTGTCAGTGTTTGAGGCATTTGGACAATGCCCTTAATAATATGCTTTAACCTTTGGTCAGCCCTGAACTGGTCAGGCAGTCGGACTAGATAGTTATGGTAGGTCCCTTCCAACTGAAAACATTCTATTCTATTAGTGTGATAGTGTTGCTCTAGTTAGTTATTAATCTAAAGTAGCTGTATGTTCTCCATTACCAAATCTGAGCTTATCACAGCCTTTTGTGTCACTAGTGAAATAGAATAGTAAAGCAGAAGGAGCTGTTATACCCTATTACAAAGGGGCAACAAATTCTTATGTCCACAGGAAAGTTGTGGGTTTATGGAGGAAGGAAAGGACAGTGCCATCGCTGTTTGGAAGTCCTTTATCTTTGCTCATTTTGAGAAGTTCTCAGCCTCTCACTGGGTGAAAAAAAGCATACACGCCATGTCTTTTGGAGAAATTCCTGTAATGAATTTGTTCTGCTGCAAGTTGTTGCAAACGCAAGTTCTTTGTAGTATTTAGTCCTCTTGGATGGTATTCATTTGCCAAAATACAGATATCTAGTGACACTTAAAATGCACTTGGAATGGCAGCCTGGCCTCAAGGAAGACATAAGACTTCTGTGGAAACTATAGAACACCTGAGGTGGCTCTAGACATAGTTTCTGGACAATAAAAGCAAAATATAGGCATGGTGCCATCATTCCTTTAGGTTCCTCTGTCTATTACTTGTCTTTCTCATGTTTATATGTAGGTCTTCAAGGCAGGGATTGTATTTGCCTCTTTTTAAATGGATGCCGAGCAAAAGAATTGTCACGGGATTTGGGGAGCAAAGAGATTAAGCGTATTGCAAAATGTGTGCAGTAATGATGTGGGTAACTTTTTTCTTATTGTAAATCCAGAGAAGAAAAATACAGAAAAATTGTGAACTCTCTCTCTGAAGTTTAAAACAGATGAAATGCTAGGTTTTAATATTTCAAAAAACACCTGAAACATTAAAGAGTTATAAACTTTTCAAAAATAACCCATATGAAATAATAATTTTCAGCAAAAAGCACTAAATATTTTAAGATAGGAAATATAGCATTTTCATATTTTTACCATTTCAAAATCCATTTTCAGAATTGCTTAGGAACTAAGACATTCATTGAGGCTGACACTTTCCCAGCAAACTGAAACTTAAAAAAGCAAACAAAAAAATCCTTTATTGATAAATTCCCATTGATTGCATTCCTAATACTCGAGGAACACTCTTGGATACTACAGTGCAGACTGTAATACTGTCCACAGACATTTTCAGGAGTTCATTACAACTGTTTGCTTAGTTCAGGATTAATGAAAATTCTCCAAAAGTCTTTACATGTTCAGGGTTTTGAGAGAAACAGTTTTGAGCTCTGTCATGGCTTAATGCTTAAAGAATTCCTTTTTTAAATTATTAAAAGCAAATACTTCAACGGAGCTGAACTTCGGTGACAACTCATATTTTTTTTTAGCACTTTTGTCTGGGTTTAGAATAAGAAAACCTAATTTCTGTTCACACCACTTGTTCCTTAAATACACCTCAAAGCAAAGCAGCTGCTCCCGTTAGACTTCCTACCAGATCCAGGGAGTCAAACTTGGACCAAATCTCTAGTCACACTCAGGTACAACGCAAATTGGGAGATCACAGTTCACAGAAGTTCCCCAGAAGCCCTCAAATCTGTGGCAATGCTTTCATGAAACCCATTTCTGGATTTCAAGGTTGTGATAGATGTTAAGTTATCACATCAGCCTGGTAAAAGATTTGTGCTTTATGCCTGACCTGTAAACCATGGTCTATCTTTCCCAGAAGAAAACTCCATGGTCATATTTAATGACCATTAATCATCTCCTTCTGGACGGAGCAATTTGATCTCAAAGACCATCCTGATAATGCACAAAGAAGGTTATATACTTCACAAAGAAAAAGGATGCATGAAAAGGGAGGTTGGGACATGCACATCAGGAATCCACAATGGCAACTGTCGGTAGCTAAAACATGCTTAATATCAGTGGTGTGTAGGCTGCTTTGGGTTATTTTTTAACTCTCTTGTCTTTGCAGCTTCTTTGGCCATTCTCTGTGGCCTGACACATTCTTCCGTCGACTGCCGAGAAGACAGAGCCACCTTCATTGAATGTGATGTCCAAGTCACGGTGGGTTCCCATCACCAAAGAGAATCTGTGTCTTACTTGTACGTCTGTGAGGACAGACCACCACAGTGGCACCAGAGGGACATCAACCCGCCCCAGAGGTATTTTGCTGGACTCTTTGCCAGGTTAGTGCTGCTTCTCTCCAACAGCTGAGTGGGCCCATCCATGAGTAACATCCCCCAGAAGGTATTCCATCTTTTGCAGAATTTACCCCTGCCAAATGATGGAATGAAGGAGCAAATTTCTCATTCTTAGGTTGATGCCAACAAAGCAATTTAGCCTTGAGACCACTAGAGAGCTCCGCTGGGTTGTGAAATTCGTTCCTTATTGCTATCAAAGCATCTCTAGTCCCCAGTCCTTCCCTTACATCTTTTTAAGTGTTTGAGAGACATCAGAAAATCCATCTTGTAAACAGCCTGCTTTGTTCCTTCTTAGGTTTTAATATTTATCTTCTGATCCAAAGCAACATCTGGTGGATGCCAATGGGGAAAAAGATTAGGCATTATGAAAAGCAGGTTGTTTTTTTCTCTCC